AAAAAAAAAAAGAGATTGGCTATTGGAATCTGCCTGAAACCTAAATGACCCTTGAAAGATGTATATATACCTCCTTTCTACTCTTTGTCAATTTTTGGTGGGACATATTTTTATTCATTCTTACTTTAACTTTTACAATTATAAAACACTAGATTAATTATATTATAAATATATGTTAATATTTAAGAACTTTTGTATTTTTTTCTTCAACATTTTCATGATATTAAATAAATAATATTTTGACGATATTTAATTTAATATCCATACTGCATATACAAAAAATTAATTGAATACACTTTTATGGATCGGTCTTATGAGTGATGGTGTCATTTTAAATAGAAAATAATAATAATATTATTACTATTTATTCGCTCTTAGGAACCCCTTTTTTGTAGGAACCTACACCTTCATTGGAAAAGTGAAACAACTATTACACATCCGCAACAAGGTTCGCCTACGTGCAGCCTGACTTTTTTGAGAAAAGCCCTTTCCTTCTTTAATAGATAGGCCGAGACGTCCTATTTTTTCAAGTATTATTAAAAAATTAAAACGAAACACCTATATATATATATATATATATATATATATAACAAACAAAAAAAAATTCAAATCCAAGTAGTAGTAATAAGGTCATAGTTGGGATGATCGGTGTAGGTATCACCCACGTGGCAAGATCCAATCTCGTAATGCAACGCGCATTTTCGCACGTGTAGAAAACAGCACTAGCGCCGTAAAATTTGGGCAACATGATCGTGTTGGCCGTGGCTGCTGTACGAGTCGTGTTGACGAAAAGGAGCTAAGGTACAACACCTTGTCCCCGAAATTCTCTACCAAATTCCACCTCTTCAACTCCTCCAAGAGCCTATAAACTCTCACCTTGCACTCGTCTCCGAAGGCAAGTGCCCTGAAAAGCCCGTCGAGCCCCTTCACCTTGAACAAATAGTACTCTTTTATATAACCTTTTCGGTTCACAAGCACTTGTGACTCACGTCAAGTCGCCATTCGAACATGTCGAACGTGGCGACATTCAGGGGCGTAACTACATTGGGGTTTGGATTGGGCTATAGCCCTGCCTAAAAGAATTAGAACAATGTATTAGTATATTTGTATCTTATTTTTGTTTTGATTTAGCCTAATTATAATTGAAAGATTTCTTTTATCCATTAGCACATCTTTTTCATCTCGATTGATAGATTTCACTTTATTAACAATTTTTTTACTTTTTATCTCAATTGAAAGATTTCACTTTATTAACAAATTTTAATTTTTATTTTAATTAACTGACTATAAGAAAGTAAAATTTAATCGTTTTAACATGTAATATGAATATTTAGGAGCCTCAAATCATACAAATTTGATTTGGAACTTCTTTTTTCTTTCTTTTTTTTTTGGAGAAATGACAACTATGGTATGTTTTTTATTAATAATAATAATAATAATAATAATAATAATAATAATAATAATAATAATAATAATAATAATATAATAATAATAACAATAAATTATGAATAAAATTATATGAAAATATAATCTTTAAATTTATTTTTCCTTTTGATTAGTTGATTTTACGATTAATCTCTAGGTTAGAAATTTCATTGTCGGAAAAAGATAGCAAAAAAAATTATCCCGAGTCGAAACTAAAAGAAATGTATAAACCAATGCTTCCATAAATTTGATAAATAAAATGATGTGATTCAAGATAATTGGTAATTATAATTGTTGGAGTAATAAAATAGTATATATGTAAATTCCTATATCCCACAAAAACATGCTTAATAAAATCAATATTAACAAGTTTTCTCAAATTTACTTGAATTTATTAATATTATATTTATTTTACAATTCTTTATCGAACAAGTATACATAATGAATAAGATAAACAATGTAATTAACATTTATTTATTTGAGATGTTGTGATATTTTAAGTTATTTTTAAACTCAAAACTTTTAAATAATTATTTACTTTGTGAAAACCTTATTAGAGATCTTAAGTTCAAAAGTGGGATTCAGTAGTAAGATTTGACATATAATATTTGTGTTTGAATTCTCATATATCTCAAAAGGTCCTAATGAATTTCAATGTTAAAGTAAACAAATTCTCTCACAACTTTTAAAAGTTCTCGAAATCTCAATTCAATAACTCAAGAATTTTAAAAATCATAAAAAGTCAAAATCTAAATGCGCAAAAATTTTAAATATTAAAAAAAATTTAAAAATCCTAAATGTATATACCCGTAAAAGCTATTATGTTAAAAAAAAAAAAAACATGTCAATCTTTTCTACACCGAAACTTGTGCTTTTTTCGTAGATAGACTACACCAAAAATATATAAATCTATAATTCTAGTAAAAGAATAATCATTTTAGAAGTTTCCCGCCAATTTTATCTACATTACCCGCCAATTATCTAGATAAATTCACCCGCCAATTTCATTAAAAGTGTCCTAAAAAATAGTAAGTGTCCAATAATTTTGAATATGGAAACAAATCGACTGATTTTTAGGGTAAAAATTTGTTATTCTCTTTTCTGTTTTTTTTTTGGTATCTTTTTTGCCTTTAAAATCGTTTCCAATTCCAATAAAGTTTATCCCTAACATAAATCTACTCGAGTTTATCTTTCATCTGTTACAAAATTCCTTATCTTGCAATTTAAAAAATCTCATCCCTTATCTATACAGATTTAAAAAAATTCCCTTACTAATACTTTTGCAAATATTATAAACTAGCAATACATCCTTGATAACAACATAAAGAATATAATAATAATTTTAATATTATGTGTAATCAAATTTTGTTAGATGAAAATAACGCCATAAATTCGGTATCATCTGAATGTCTTTATTAAATTAGGCTTATAATATTTTAGATACTTTAAACAAAATTGGTTAGACATTTTTTCTTTTTACATATTCGTCTATATATACATATATATACACACACGTATACCTAATTGATGTTAAATTTAAATGTATGTAGACATGTTTTCTTTACAAAATAGTCTACAAAATTCTTTTTTGCACAATATTAAATTCAAATATTTTTAGATATGTTTTCTTTCTAAAATTGTTTAGAAACGTTGTAGGTGAATTCACATCTTTCAAAAATAATATAAAAAATTTTGAATACTTTTCCATATACTAATATAATATTTTAGGTATTTTAATATTAAACATCCAAATTTTATATTCTCTTATACAAAATAATGCAAATTTTATATTCACTTATACAAAATAATTTTATATTGTTTGACCTCGAATCTTCAATTTATAATTATTAAGTATTGTTTATCTTTCTCTTTAATTTATAATTATTTTTGTTCCTCTTTTTAAATAGGATCAATAGTAGTTTCCACTTCCACCATTGAGTGACTCAAACTCGAGATTTATTTATAATATTGTTGATTTAATATTGTTTTCGTGCATCGCACGGGGCACACACTAGTTAATCATTAATTGGATAGTGTTTTTGAAAAAAAAAAAAAGTTGGAATAATTATCAGGAAAAACATATGTTCTATTAATGTTGCAATACCCAACTAAGTGCATTAGTCAGCCTCGGATAAATTTGAATTCTAGCTACGCCACTGGCGACATTTCCCTTCATATCCGAGAAGTAAACAAGCCCTCGGTAGAGAATCGGGGCCCCACGCGATGGCATGAATCTTGATGCCGTTTTTTGCACGAAGCCGATTTGAATTCTAGATACGCCACTGGCGACATTTCCCTTTATATCCGAGAAGTAAACAAGCCCTCGGTAGAGAATCTGGGCCCCACGCGATGGCAGGAATCTTGATGCCGTTTTTTGCACGAAGCCCGACCACCCTTTTTTTTTTTTTTTTCCGTGCCCCAGCACGTGAATCCTCGATATGTTTTCATAACTTGGAGTTTGGATCCCCAACACCGTGCAGTCCTTGGAGGTGGGTGGATAGAAAAACGAGACGACGGCGAGGTTGGGAGGAGTTTTTAACGGGAGCTCGACCTACCGGTGGTTGGAGGGGTCGAAGTAGAAGAGGGTGGAGTATGGGTCGGCAGACAAGGCTGAAACTGTGGCGGTATCCGGCGAATAGGTTGGAGAGGATCAGGTCAAGGAGCTCGGGAGGGAGATCAGCCCAATTCCCCATGCTTACATTAATCATATGAAAATTTGAATCTTGCAATAACCTGAGAACAGACCAAAAAACTTAAACCTTGTAGGAGAGAAACTTAAGAAAATTTAGCGTGTGTTTGGTTCGGGGGAATGAGAGGGGAGGGGAAGGGAGGGGAGGGAATATTTTTATTATCCCCTGTTTGGTTCAACTTTTGATAAGGAAGGGGAGTAAAATTTTCCCCTCCTTTCTCCCACCCAAGGGAAAATTAGGTCCCCTCCAATTTTGGAGGAATTTGGAGGGGAAGTTAAATCTTTTATGTTTTTGTACTAATATGTCCTTCTCAATTCATTATAATTACATAATGTGCCCCTCCAATTTTATATCTTGTAAATATAATATTATATAATAAGTAAGGGTATATTTGTCCACATAATTTTATTTTCTCTCCCCTTTCATCTTCTAATCAAACAAGGTTAATCATTTTCCTTCACCTCCCCTCCTACAAAATCCCTCCAAACAAGGTAAAATTAGTTTCCCTCCCTTTCCCTCCCCTCCCCTCCCCTCCTTTGAACCAAACATAGCCTTAAGAATACCTGTAGAGTTAGCCGATACGAAAAAAAAAAAAAAAGATCAAACACGGATTGAAATCCAAACAAATCCAAGTATACTATGATCTAAATGTAGAATCTACTCAAACAAAATCGATAAAAAAAAAAAAAGAAAAAAGAAAAACAATCAAACACTATTTAACGGATTGAAATCCAAACATAATATATTTGATCTAAATGTGGAACCTCAGTTTCCGATTGGCTCAATTGGCTACCTCTCAGCTTAGTCTCTGAACGAAACGCACACGCATGGTGCAACAGTATAATTCATGAATGAAAGCTGATAGACAGGGTCCAAGTTACGTATCGGAAGGAAATATATTTACGATTTAAATTTGTATTGTTGGTAAAAAGAACAAGTATGACTAAATAACAAGCAGTTCAATTTAACTTGGCAGTTAGATTACAGAATGTGTTACTGGTGACCACCCTGCTCAATAGCATTTGTGATAGAGAAAATTGCAATTTTAGTCCACTAACTTAGGCTGTTTCCCGTTTTAGTCCACTAACTTAAGCCGATCCAAATTTGGTCAAAAAACTTTCAAAAATTAGTTAAATAAGTACATTTTCGGTCCCCGTCGCCGAAATCCGATCGGAGTGCGCTGAGTTGGCAATTGTTGGCGTCGACTGGGCTGATGTGGAGCAATTCCCGGCCGATTCACTGACGTGGACTTCACCACTTATTTCCATGTCATTTTTAATTTTCGAAAAATACAAATAAATTTGAATTACAAAATCGAGGCCCAACGTTCACATTCACAATCCCCAAATTAAATATCTAACCCTAATCAGTTCTTCCATGAAGCTCTACTCTGAATCGGCCAAAAAAATTCTGGAAACCAAAAATGTCTTTCATTTCAAGCTCCCTTGACTGTCAATGCGGAAAAAGAGCTGTCCTTCGCACCTCGTGGACCGATGATAATCCCGGCAGGAGGTTTCACTCATGTTTGTCATGGAAGGTCAGTAATTCAATATCTGTTGTTGTAGTATAGGATTCTTGAAATTCTTGAAAATTTACTTCATGTAGAGAGGAGGATGCAAGTTCTTTGAGTGGGAGGACCCTCCGATTTGTCGCCGAGCAAAATCCATTATACCTGGACTCCTAAGAAGGGTTAATGCTTTGGAGGATGAGAATAAAGCTCTGAGACAGAAGAACATGAGGCTACTCAAATTTGCAGCAACTATGGTTGTCTTCATACTCGTCTTTGTCTTCATAAAGCTCTGAGACAGAAAAAGAGTGGCCTATGTTCTTGTACTTGTAGGAGCTTCAAAATTTGCTTTGTTGTTTTGTCACTTGTTTTATTGAATCCCATGACTTGGATGTTAGTTGTTTTGTTCCTGTTTTATGTAATCTCATATTTGAACAGTGGCTTGTATTCTGGTTCTTGTCTGATGCTATAAAATCTTGTTCTTGTCCTTGTTCTTGTTATTGTTCTTGTGGTTGCTTTAAAATGTTGTTCTTGTTTTTCTGAGAATGGTGAATGATGTTTTTTGCTCAGCAACTGATCTAAGAAAATGTACTAATGATCCAACACAGTGTTACTACTTTTACTTTTAGGTTCAAAGACAATGCACTCAATAGAACATATACAATGTACACACAACTTGTAAAAACAGACATAAAAGTAACATAACTCAATCATAATAGCACTCCAACATAGGTGCCCAAAAAAAAAAAAAAACTTCTTAAACATCACAAACTTCATAACATCAGAAACTTCATAAACATCAGAAACCTCATAAACATCAAACTTCATATTAATTTATGCCAATTCTGGGTTCCCAAAAACACTAAACATCAATCATGGCATTCCAAAACACATTACCATACACAAACCAAGTCCAAACATCTAAATGACACCCAAAAACACCAAAAGTACTACAAATCAACTCCAAACAGAAACATGACTATTACAAACTTCACAATCTCCTGTTTTGCCTGTTCCCATCCAATGAAGAAGCTATCTCATACAAAGGCTTGTACTTTTGCCCCACTCTAGGCTCAACTGGAGGACCCCTTGGCTTTCTTCCTTGTAGCTGGTCAAACATTGAAGGTCCTTCCACATGTGCAGGTGGGCATGCATTAGTGTTGAGTATATTTTTGGGCATGTGGTAACCGAGCTACCCGACTCGGGTCGTTCTCAAAGGAAGGCTATTCGGAGCTTCGTTCACTACCTAGTCGTCTAAGTCACACAACCGAAAAGGTCCTAAACATTCTACTCGAAAATTGGGGATTTGAATTAAACTAAGCTACTCTACGAAATTGAAATCGAAAGCAAGTAAAGCACGCGAAAAGATGAGAAAAATCAAGGGGGAAAGAGAGATTTTGGTTTTCCGGAGTCTCCATGATCAATCACACGCAAATAACCGAACATTGCCATGCTAGCTAAAACCCTAGGAAGCTAAACCCAACTCTATCACAAGACGAGCAAGTATTCAACTCCTAATCACACTTAGTCAAGCATTCATGATCCAAAGCAACAATCTTTTCTTCCAAAATCACAAGCACAATATCAATTTACCAAAGCAATAAAGATATACGAGGTAATGGGGCTTAAGACTAAGTTACCCACTCCAACATGCACTCGGGAGAAGAAACGGAATCAAAAGCTTGAAACTTTGCTCAAAACAATGTCGTCGGAAGTTCGCCGGAAAACTTGATTCATAAAGCTCCAAGCCATAAAAAAAAAGGAAAAATAAAATATAGAGAGGAATTCCCAACTTAAAAGTTGGGAAATGAGAGTTGTTCCCAAAAA